TGTGTGTGTGTGTGTGTGTGTGTGTGTGTGTGTGTGTGTGTTCGTTCGCACATGCTTGCAGTTCTGGGTCCTAATCAACAAATAGGAAGCCGGAAGAGTCTGGCCTGGTAGAAATGAGATGGGGAAAGGCGGATGCAGAAGATAAAGTGGGTTTGGGGTAAGGCTACCTGTTTAGAGAGGCCCCTGTGGCAGTAAGCACTTCTGGCCTCACGACCACCTTAAATGAAGAAGGGAGCCCTATTCCCACTTAGGCAAAGGACAAATGACACAATAAACACTTTTGGTCTGAGAGTGCCAGGAAAGGGCACCTGTTGGCACAGAAAAGGGCAGCCAGCCCCTATCTGGAAGACAGGACTTGGCTGCCTCCCTAGCCACCACATTCTACTCTGAGAACTATCACCCCTGCCTCTGCCATTATTGCCCTACCACAAGCTCTGCTGGAGACTACTGCTGCCAGTCAGACTCCAGCTGGTGGGACAGAAATAAAGACCCCGAGCTCCAGGGCCCTGCCCTTGGGGTGAGACCTACCCATGGAGAAGTCTGGCTCTTTCCCACAGTCCTGCTGCTTTAAGCCAAACATACGGAACTCTCCTGGGAGGGCACTTGGCCCACAGTTTCTCTGGAAGATGAGATCCAGGGAAGCGCTCTCAGGGAGGAAGAAGAGCCTTGGAAAAGTATTTGTTCCTTTTTCCTGTCCCTGCTCTGCAGGCTCAGAAATCCGAGTCTGCATCCATGAGCTCTGCCTCCATCAGGTTTGTGCGGGAGTGAATGGGCCCCAGACCCTGGCGGCAGCCCTGAGCCCAGGCCGTGGGGGCTGGAACACTGGGGAGAAATGTATCCTGACGGACACTGGGCTCTGGGCAGAAGGGGTTGGAGACCAAGGTCCAGGCTCCCTGTCGGCAGGATTCCCCAGATCCCCAGGCTCCTGAAGCCACCAGGCATTTTTGTCGGGGGAGCTGAGGCAGCCGAGGAACAGCGCTGGTGGCAGGGGCAGGGGCAGGATGGTGAAGCTCAGGGGCTGGTGCCAGGGGGCACACCTCCTTCTTCCTCTTCCTTCGCTTCTTCTTCCGGCCCAGGCGCTTCTCCAGCTCTGGAGAGATCTCTGCCTCAACTAGCCACAGGTTGGCTTGTTCTTCTCGGGGTACTGTCAGGAGAGAGAACACTGCCTGGGGCCCTGGCTTTGTCCTCAACACCCTTCCCTCCCCAGCATCCCTATTCTCTGTGCGCATGTGTGTGTGTGTGTGGTGCTAGGGATTGAACAAGGGCTTTGCACATGCTAGGCAAGCACTTTATCACTGAGTATTCTACCTATACCCCTAAGCTCCCAGCACCCCTATTCTTGAGCTCTGGACTTCCAGTGCCTTGGTTTCAGATCCTCTGGGGCCTTTCCTTCCTCTTCCCCCTCTGGTAGTGCCTGGTATTCCAGTCCCAGCATCTATGCCCACCACCTCCCTACAGAAGCCTAAACTCTCATACCTGGAGTCGCCACAGGAGTGACAGACACGTCCTGGGGCAGTATGGCTCCTCTCCTAGCCACCATCTTGGTGACATGCTGGGCCCAGGCAGAGGAGACATCAGCTGAGGGTTCATTGAGGTCAAAGGCCAAACCCGCTTTGGAGATGGAAAGAAAGATGAAATAGTGACTTCCCAGTCCCTCTCAGTGGCTCCTTCCTTACCTAGCACCATTCCCCTGAGCTAGTCTCTCCCCCTCCAGTTGTCAGAGAAAGGTCTATAACCACAGAGATCTATGCATTCAGAATCTGAGGGGAGCAGCTTCAAGTCCCCAAAGGGCTTAAATAACAGTCAGAAATCTAGTCTTGGAACTCTGGCCCAGAGAGCAAATGGAAAAGGAAGAGAATAGGGAGAGAGCCCCGTGTGGTGGCGCACGCCTGTAATCCTGGGTGGCTCAGGAGGCTGAGGCAGGAGAATCACGAGTTCAAAGCCAGTCTCAGCAAAAGTGAGGTGCTAAGCAACTCAGTGAGACCCTGTCTCTAAATAAAATACAAAATAGGGCTGGGGATGTGGCTCAGTGGTGGAGTGTCCCTGATTTCAATCCCCAGTACCAAAAAAAAAAAGAAAGAAAGAAGAAGGAGGAGGAGGAGGAGGAGGAGAGGGAGAGGGAGAGAGGGGAACCCTCACAGACCATGAACAGGAACAGAGGAGAAAGAGAGGCCTTCAGAGAGGTGAGGTGGACTAGAAAAGAATGAGTGTGTGAGTGGGAGAAGAGAGAACAGTCTGCCAAACATCCAGTGCCCTGGGAGGGCAGCTGGGCACTCAGGGTTAAGTGGCTCGAGGGAGGACAGGGCCAGGCTCACCCACAGGCCCATCATGGGAGACGGTGTGCATGCTGAAGGACAGCTCCTGGCCTGGATTCTGCAGCAGCTCCCGCCGCTTAGAGAAGGCCTTGGCAATCATCTTGCTCTTCTTGATCCGTTTGGGCTCATCATCACCCTGCCCAGTCAACCTGAGAAAGTGTGGAGAGGGGAGTGGAGGAGCGGCCCCTCACCACCAAATCTTGTGAAAGATAGCGTCCCATTCCCTCTAGGTTAGGAAGTTCTGAGAGTCTTAAATGCCTCAAAGACTCTAAGGAGTAGAGGCCTTCCTTGCAAAGAAGTGAACCTAGAACACAAGGCTCCTGTGTACCCTGCTGTCAAGTCATTAACTTTCACCAAATGCTGCCCACTGGCTCAGTATTTGGTCCACACTCATGCCTCAGGTCGCCCAGGGACAGGCGCCACCAGGGGGCGGTGGATAGCCACTGAGAAGAGGACCTCAGGCAGCTCAGTGCCCTGTTTTGGAAAACACAGCTGCCCAAGACCCGTGTGCAGGAAGAACTAGACAAAGCCTAAAGGTGGGGGACCTGAGGCTGCAATTAAGACAGGAGGGACAGGATGAGCTGGCTGCTGATCCCACCTGCACCAGGTGCGCCTCCAGATGAGCAGTGTGGCCTTGGTCCAAACCCAGGTGCTCATGGCGATACCAGTGCCAAACATGGCAAACAGGTTGATCTTCTCCACCAGGAGGCTGGGGCGATTCTTGATCTCACAGTCAGGAATGGGTTTCTTGGTAGGCAGCCCAATGGTCACATTGGCCTGGCACCTGTGGTGAGGGATGGTTGACAGGTGAGTCTTTCTGAGTCCAATGGGTAGGGATCCAGACTATCAATCCAAAGACTTTGGAAAGAGTACAATTCTCATGGTACTCTTGGGTGGTTTTGTTTAGGGACTGGGAATCAAACCCAGGGACTCACTCATGAGTGCTCTATCACTGAGCTACATCCCCAGTCCCTCACAGTTGCAACTTCCCAGGCTAGAAGCTGGAACCTTTAAAAATGAGCCTGAAGCAGTCCAGACAAATGTCCGCTTTAATGGGCATTTTAACTGTTGCTCCTTATAAGGGCAGGTGCTGCACTTGAGGAAGTTGAGATGACTCACTCTCTCCTAATCATCCTCATTCGTACACAAAAAAGCACAGGTACAACTAGCAAACCTGAACAGATTATTAACCTGTCACAGACAGGTATCTACTCCTGTGTAGGGATCTATGGAGAAAGCTGTAGAAGGTACAACCTTGAGTTGGTCAAAGAAAGCAAAGGATGAAAAGCCTTCTTTTTTACTTTTATTTTTATTTTTTTGTTACCGGGGATTGAACTCAGGGGCACATGACCACTGAGCCACATCCCCAGCCCTATTCTGTATTTTATTTACAGACAGGGTTTCACTGAGTTGTTTAGCGCCTTGCTTTTGCTGAGGCTGGCTTTGAACTCACAATCCTCCTGCCTCAGCCTCCTTTGCTGCCGGGATTACAGGTGTGCACCACTGCACCTAGCTTGAAAAGGCTTCCTAACAGTTACAAACACACCATCCCATCAGCCAGCCAAGGGGTGCCTGTAGAAGGGCAGAGTTGAGTAGGCACTTGAAGGCTCTTTCCCAGGTCTGGCACAGCACAGAGCAGCTGATGTCTTGGAAGCCCAGACACTATCAGCCTCATCTGTTGAGGGACCTGGCAGACTCCTGCTGCACAGCAAAGGGGATGCTGTCCTTACAGCCAGGGCTCCAGCTCCCACCACTGCCACCTCCAAACCCAGTCCCCATACTCACAGCACGTAGTCCCGGAAGCTGCGCTCCCACTCAGCCTGGTTAAAGAAGTCGTAGAAGTGGCAGCTGAAAGTGATGAGCACAAAGCCAAAGGCCAGGAAGCCAAAAATGCCTGTAGAGGACAGGGACATAATGGGACGTTACCGGTCAGACACTGGAGCAGTATGGGGGAGTGTGTCTGCCCTAATGAGCAACAGAGGATGGGGTGAGTTCATACTGGGCTCAGGTCAAGAAGGGTATTCTCCAAAATAAAGCAAGAAGGACCTGTGAGGCAAATGTGGGAAGGCTCCCATGGGAGAAGTGGGGACATGGAGCTGTCTTGACTCAACTTGCTTCTCCCATCTGAGAAGGCCCTCTTCTTTCAAGCTGCCACCAGTACCACCACCTACACACACATACCTTGTCCTTGTCCCATGGCCGCTACCTTGTCCCCCTGCATTACTGCACCCTGGAGGCTCCTGAGCCCCAGGAGGGTACAGTGTTGGGCTGGCCAGAACTACAGCCCCAGGGCCACTCACCCAGGCGCAGCATGGTCTCGTTGATCTTGCTGGCAGCCTTCTCACTCAGCAGCCCCGGGTGGTTGCTCTTGATGGAGAACAGAGTCATGACTCCTGAACAGAACAGGGACCTCAGGGGTTAGCAGAGTGAGGCCACTCTCCTGAGAAGGACAGTTATATAGGGGAGGGTCCCAGGGCCCCAGAGTCCTGGGTCTGATTACACTTGTGCTGACTTAAAGCTTGGAGGACTGGAGACACTGGAGAACGGGAGAACAGCTAATAGCAATTCTGCCATGGGCTGGAATGAATGACACAGTGGCAGCATCCGGAGAGAAAGAGGGAGCCCCTGTCCTGACCCCACTGCTCCTAAGGAAAGCAGCCAGGTCAAAGTTTTCTGATGGAAAAGGCATAAAACCAACTCAAGAACAGCACCGTTGGGCTGGGGTGTGGCTCAGTGGTACAGCGCTTGCCTTGCATGTGTGAGGCACTGGGTTTAATCCTCAGAACCATAGAAAAATAAAGATATTGTGTCTATCTACAACTAGAAAAGAGCAGCACTGTTGGAGAGAAAATGCTGTGGGACACACATATAATCTTAAAATTTCTAGTAAGTATATTAAAAAAAACAACTAATTTCAATGTGTTTTATAAATGTAATATATCCAAAATGTAATCGCACCAATATATAATCCACATAACAAATCATTAACAGATATTTTCCCCTTTTTTGGTGCCTTTTCTTTGAAAGGCAGTGTGTATTTTACACTTATAACACATCTCAATCTGGACTAGCAGCAATGCAGGTGGCTAATGGCTACTGTACAGGACAGCACAGATATGAGACATAAATCAGAGGCACAGACACTGCCAGAAAGGGAGGAAAGAGGCGGAACAGAAGGCTGACGGTTCAGTGGGAGGAAACTGAAACTGACAAAACCCAACGAAAATAAGCCAGATACGGAAGCTCAGTGTGGGGTGGCAGATTGAGACAGGGAAGTTAGGGACGAGTAAATCTGTGCATGTTGTGAAAACTATGTGTGCGTTGGGGTAGGAAAGAGACGGAAACCAAACTCCAAAAGGCTGACAGTATAAAATTAAAGACAGCACACACAACCAAGGGCCACAGGTGGATCCACGTGGGCAGAGTGGGTTACCCAGGCTGGTCATTACACAACTGTACCCTGCCAAGGGGAGGCAGGGGCTGGACTGCAGTCCCAGTTCCACTCAATAAGTCTGGTCAGGGCTCTAGAGGAAGGGGTACATTTTTCTGGACAATACAAAGGCACTGCCACATAGCAAGAGCTCATGGTACTGTACCTGTCTAAAGGTCACCTTCTTCTACACTGCACCAAGGACTGGGATGAGCTAGCTGCAGTCTCAGTTGTGCAGGTAGCAGAGCTGGTGACCCTTGTTCCTACTTCCACAAAGCAGGCTTTCGGCACACGTGTGGTTCCACTGGCCTTGGCCTAGTCCTCACTCACCTCGGATGAGGAAGTAGCCTCCCACAATGAGCACCAGGCCAATTGGGGCCAGGACGAAGCCAGCCCGGTATCGGTAGTTCTTGTAGCCCACAAAACAGATGCCGCTCACGGAGTCCCCATCCACCTGCAGCAGGAAAGTGTGGGAGGGACCTTCAGTTGCTGGTCCCTCTCGCAAGACTATCCCACTCAGGTCGCCAGCCCCCGCCAGTCACTATACCTGGGCCACAGCGAGGATTGCCACGGTGAGGACAAAGGGGAGTGACCACGTGAGCAGGTGGAAGTAGGAGGTCTTGCCTGAGAGTGGCTGGTAGGTGGTGCCCAGGGCTTTGAAGGAGGTGTGCCAGGCATAGGTGAGGACCACAAACCAGACCACACCAGCCATCAGGGCATAATACACGATGACAAAAATGATGACGCAGGACAGGGTCTCATTGGAGCTGTGCAAATATGTGGGTGTCACTTGGGAAGGTCAGTCTGTACTCCCTCTACCAAATCTCTCCACCCTGTCCCCAATCCTGGGCTGCTAAGGTCTGGAGGGTCCCTGGGCTTGGGGACAGGACCCAGATCACATGAAGGGGTTCTAGAAGATACTGCTTTAAATCCAGGTTTTGAGGCAGAAGCCAAGGCTCAACAAGGGGAATCCAAACCCAGATGAATCCTTCCCTGAAATCCCGCTTTCAGGTATAACCTATCCCTTCTGTGGGAAGTGCCCACTACAGTTTTCCTTCACCGTCCTCACCTCTGGGTCCTCAAGACACTTACGTGGGCTCCCCTAGCCTCATGGTGCCATCTGCTCTGCATACAATCTCCCGGCGGGCACCGTCCATGAACTGGGCCAGCCAGCCAATGCTGCCCACAAAAAAGCACGCGTTGACGTAGAAGAGAATCACTGCAGGGTAGCGATTGGAGTTCCGCCAGTCAGCCACAAAGGTGGCCTGGAAGAGAGTGGCCGTTCTGCCAGGTGAGGGTTGTTCTGTTGCCACAGACACCCTTATCTAAACCCCAGGCTCTTCCATCATGACCCTTCCCTGGGGTGCTCCCTCCCACCCCCTGAGCCCAGCCCCATGCTCCTTTCCTGTTTCCAGGAGGAGGGAACACCTGTACTCAAAGCATGACCTGTCCTCCCTTGTGACTGACCAGGGTGAAGAGCGTGCAGAGGCCAGTGACAGCACCGAAGGCTGCAATGTAGCTGTGCATGTCCTGATGCTCGGCCTCGGTGAACAGTGGATTCTGACACTGGATCCCGCAGCCTTCCACATCCTCGTACCAGCTCTTGGGGTTGTCTGTCCGCACCAAAGGCGCTTCACACTGACCCGAACTGTTGAACTTGATGTTCTGCACCTCATTCTGGCACCAGGGAAGGGAAGAAGGCAGGGGCAAAGGGAGATCAGATCAGGGATGAGCCTCTTCTTCAGGAAAAGGTATCAGGGGCAGAGTGTGGTGTCGGAGGCCCATTTCCAGGACTCAAACAGCCTCTCAGTGGCTGTGCAGGCTGGGGTAATTAACTGACCACCTGTTGACCACTCGATGCCTCAGCTTTCCCATCTATAAGATGGTAGTACCTACCACACTGTAGAGTTTAAGGGTTAAATTAATAGATGTAAAGTGCTTATCATGGTATTTGGCATGTACTAAATAATAACTAGCATTATTACTATCATTATCAGTTTAGACCTCTAGATCTTACCCCCTTGCCTTGTTGTCTCCAGCTGTATGATCAACTCTCTAAAGACAGTCTCCTCTCATCCATGACTCCTGTAAATTCCCTACACCTCACAAAGTGGGTGCTCAAAAAAAATTTTTTTTTGCTAAATTTTTTATCTTGGATCAGTAGAGAAACCCTGATACATTGGTCTAGCTGGTGAGTTGCAGTTTAGGTTTGTGACTCATGGCTCCCATGGCTGTAGACTTGAGGTCCCCAGGAAAGAAGGCTGTGGCTCCTCTGCATCCTGCCAGACCCTTTCCTATGTTAGGCCAGACATCGCAGATCCTGCCCCATAGACAACTCACCGGGCAGCCTTCAGGGAAGTGGTCAGGGGTGCAGCGCAGGAAGTCAGGCCAGCCCCGCTCCCGCTCCACAATGGCACACGGGCCTCGGGTGGCCTGGCAGAGGGTGCGGCTGGGCAGCTCCACTCGTTCATTCTCACACTTGGGCATGTACACAGCACACAGCAGGGGCTGGATCACTGCCCAGCATCGGGGGGCATTCCGGAGGCCTAGGCAGGGGTGACAGTGTGGGCTTATTACAGTGAAACCCGTCTTTACTCTGATCCACTAACACAGCTGCACCGTTTGGTCCCCAGGCCTTTGTCACACTGCAGGCCATTACTGCTCAGACCTGTCAGACGTGGCATTTCTCAACAGGACATCTGGGCAGGACAATTCTTTGTGCTTCAGGACTGTATTGTGCATTGAAAGGCATTTAGCATTAACCTTGCCTACTAAATGCCAGCAGAACTCTTAAGTAACTGTGACAAACAAAAGATGCCCCCACCCACTCACTCCAGGGGTAGCAACTAGTAGAGGGCTTGAAGAAGAGCTTCTGGGATGCTGGGAATATTCTAGTTCTTGATCTCGTTCTGGTTACATGAGTATGTTCATCTTGTGAAAATCATGATCTATGCTCTAGTCTGTATGTACACTGTAATCCCATTAAAATTTTAAAACCAGCTGCCATTTCCAAATTCCCTGTTAGGGAATGGCAGTGCCTCTGGTTGAGTACCCTGGAGGGATCACCTTTTCAGAGTGTTTTGAACCCTTCCACAGAATTCTTCCAGAACAGGAGGCTATGAGACCCTACCCCCTACTCCTCCCAGGGCCCATTCACCAGAACCCAGAATGGTCTCCCCTTACCCAGCCCCCAGAACGCTTGTTCTTACCAAGCTGAGGTGAGAGAGAGAAGAGGTAGGAGCTTAAGGAGAGGTAGTCAGAGGAGCCAGGAACTCCAGAGCCAGAAGAGGAAACAGGAGATCAGATGGAGAGAAACACAGGAGGCTCAGTCCAGTGCAAAGGGAGGAAAGACAGACAGAATCAGGCAGAGGTCTCCTGGCAGCCCCACCTGGCCCAGGGCTCTCCCCTGCTCTCTCCAGGAGCTGGCCTCATTCAGCTTTCTGTCCCCTTAGCCTCTCCTCAATCACCCCTGCTCCAGGAGCTCAACAAATCAAGTAAGAAGTTGTACTGGGAGAATCTTCTGAGGACATGACAGCCAGCATGGACAACTGTCACACTGTCAGGCTGGGCATGGTGGGGGCGGGTAACCACCCTACTGGAGAGAGGTGACACAGTGGAAAGGTCAGGATCATGGGCACTGCAAATTAGCCTGGCTCCAAAATCTTGGTTCCATCATTTCCTGGTTATGTAAAGCTGGGCAAAGTATTTAATCTCTATCTCTAGCCTCAGGTGCCTCATCTATAAAATGGGAATGAAAGATTTAACCTCCCAGAACTACTATGAAGAGTGAGAGGCAGCAGGTTAAATGTGCTTGACTCAGTGCCTGTCAGGCAGTAAGCACAAAGGAAGGGTTGTTTTTACTAGTCTGAGGCCTCTGACTGCTCACAGGTCACAGTCTAGACTCCAGGGAACCAAGCAAGAACCAAGTTCTTGCCAGTTATGAAGCAATATTCTCAGGCAATGGTTTCCAATTGATTCAAATCAGAATCTCCTGCAGGACCCTCATCACCTAGATGGAGGACCCAATCCCAGAAATTCTGAATGGGTAGGCTTGGGTTGAAAACACAGCAATGGGTATCAGGGGCAAGGTTGTGGGAGAAAGCAGTAGGACAGAACACAGATGTTCAAGATATGAGGAGGCTACATGCTCACCAACCCACCAGGAGGTGAAAATATGGAAAATGGAAAATGCATTTTTCTTTTCTTTATTTCCCATTTTTTTGGTGCTTGGGTACTACCACTACATTCCCAACTCCTTTTACTTTTTATTCTGAAACAGAGTCTCACTCACTAAATTACCCAGTCTGACCTCAAACTTGTGATCCTCCTGCCTCAGCCTCCAAAGTAGCAGGGATCATAAGTGTGGGCCACCGCTCTCAGCTGGAAACTGCACCTAAACTTCTGAGCAACCCAGTACAGCCAGTACAGATGCACTGTGGAGCATCAGTGGTTTCCCTTATGATCACACAGCCAACCCGAGGCGGCATTCTACCCAGCATCTGGACAGAGGATGAGGCTGCATATTTCGAGTTGAGGAGGAAATCCAATTCAAAATTCCAAGTACAGTTTCTACTGAATGTGCATTGCTTTGCACCATCCTGAAGATGAAAATTTGTTAGCTGAACCACTGTAAATCAGGGCCATCTGTATGTAAAAGTGATGGGCCTGTTCTCTGTCTTAAATATGGTGGCCAAGATACTATGCATTTGTTTAAACTAATAGAACGGTACCAAAAAAAGAGCAAATTTTACTGGATGTTTATTAAACAATACATTTAAGTTGGTTGAGGTGGCACATTCCTATAAACTCAGCTGGTCCAGAGGCTGAGGAAGGAGGATCAAAAGTTCAAGGCCATTGTATGAATTCATTCTGTGTCAGGTTTGGATACCATACATATGCATTACAGGACTCCCTGCTCCATGTTATGGCTGCCTATTTAATAAGTGTTATAAAGATCAACTTCATAAATAAAAAAAAATTCAAGCCCAGCCTTGACAACTTAGTGAGACCCTGTCTCAAAATAAAATTATAAATTTTAAAAAGGGTTGAAGATTTAGCTGCCTAGTAAGTACAAAGCCCTGAGTTCAATACCCTGTACTACAAAAACAAAAACAAAACAAATAATACATTTAAGATGGTAGACCCAGGTGTGGTAACACACACCTGTAGTCCTAGTGACTCAGGAGACTAAGGTAGGAGGATCGCAAGTTCAAAACTGGCCTTAGCAACTTAGGGAGACCCTGTCTCAAAATAAAAAAATAAGAAGAGCTGAGAATGTAGCTCAATGGTAAAGCACCCTTGGGTTCAATCCCCAGTACTTAGGGAAAAAAAAAAAAAAAAAAGCAAGGAAAAAGCTCTCGAGTAAAGTGTATTCTAGAAGAGCATCAGGCAGTTAATTAATAAAAATGCTGTGTTATTTATCTGGGTTTTATGACACCATTTTTCTTTTTTTCCCTCTTCACCTTAAATATTGTCTTGTCTCTTACTTTAAAAATAAACTCTCCAGGAAAAAGATAGATTATTAACCTTAAAGGACAATTTAGGAGCCATTTCGGGGAAAATAAAGTGGATTCATTTTCCCATTTCTTGCATGAAAGAAAATTCCAGATAGATAAAAAATAACTACATTTTTATTTTAAATTGAAGTACTAGAAGAAAATATGGGAAATGGTTTTTTTAATCTTAGAGTGAGGAAGCATGACATAAAACCCAGAAGCCGTGAAATAAATTTAAAGAAAAGAAACTTCAGAAAAAAGAGATACACTCAGTAGGATAAAAACCAAATAAATCATAAGAAGAGCCACATGAAAAAATGTATTTCTAGTACATATTATAGGTAAAGGGTTAATCTCTTTATATGCATACAGCTCTTCCAAATCAGCAGGAAATGCTTAATCCTATAGAATTATGGGCAAAAGACAAATAAAAGAGATCACACAGAGAAAACTCAAATGGACTTTGAAAAAGTCATAAAGACTTTGATTACTTTTTGAACACAGATATTCAACCTCTTAAAATAAAGGCAAAATAAAATGATAATAACATGTAACTTTAACCTTCAGACTGGTAAAGATTAAAACATTTGAAAATACTGTATTGTCAAGAGTATGGGGGAAAACTGTTACTTCTATATATTGTTGATAGGAATAAAAATTGGTAAACCCCTGTGGAGACCATTTGGTGTTATCTATCAAAATTTTATACTAGCAATTCTACTTCACATTTTCCCAAAGACAATATAGAAGATTATTCATTGCAGCATTGTTTATAATGGCAGAGTGGAAGCAGCTTGCCTCCATATCCATAAACAGAACATCAGCTAAATAAAATAACACATCAGGGACTGAGGGAGGTAGCCAGGGATAGAGCAAATGTTTAGGTCATGTGTTGCCCTGGGTTCAATCCCTGGAACCAAAAATAAATAAAATCAATGTAAAAGAATATAATTCATATAATTCAGGGTTGAATTATATGAATTGAAAAGAAATGATGTCCAGTAGTCCAAAATGCTTTTATTTGTATTTTATTTAGAGACAAGATCTCACTGAGTTGCTTAGCATCTCACCATTGCTGAGGTTGGCTTTGAACCTGTGATCCTCCTGCCTCAGCCTCCCAAGTGCTGGGATTATAGATGTGACCTTTATTTCATTTGTTTATTTATTTATTTATATGCGGTGCTGAGAATCAAAGCTGGTGCCTCACATGTTTTAGGCAAGTGCCCTACCACTTAGCTACAGCTCTACCCCTCCAATATGCTTTTTATTTTTGTTTATTTTGGTGGTGCTAAGAATGAGCACAGGGCCTTGTGCATGCTAGGCCAGCATTCTACCAACTCAGCTGAATCTTGCACCCATAGATCTATATAAAGCAAATAGCATAGATCCTAGAAAATAGCACTCAACAAATGGTTGACTTTTTTTTTTTTAGCATTGCCAGGGCTCAGATCCCAGGTCTGGCCTGGAGCATGCTAGGCAAGCACTCTACCACTAAGCTACATCCACGGCCCCAATATGATTGTTAAATGGACACAGTTGAGTGGAGAACAGTCCCCACAGCATGGCACCTGTTGGGAGTAGAGGAGAGATTAAGGCCATCCCTACAACTGGACATATGTCAAAATATCTCTAAGAGGACATATAAAAAAGTAGCGTGGTAGAAAGGAAAATGGGTAACTAGAAGCAGAAATGGGACTTAACTTTTGTTCCTTTTGAATTTTGTACCATGTGCATGTGCTATTTAAAAGCACATGGCTCAGCAGTAGAGGGCTTGCCTTACACTTGCAAGGTCCTGGGTTTGACTCTCAGGACCACATAATTAATAAATAAATAAATAAATAAAGTTATTTTTTAAAAAAAGCACATAGTACAACACTCTTTCAAAAGCAATTAAGCTTAAAAACAAAAATAAAGAAATATAGAAGGCTGGGATGTAACTCAGTAGTAGAGCACTTCCCTAGCATGTTCCAGGCCCTGGATTAGATCTCCAGCACTGCAAAAAATAAAGATAACAAACAAACATGTGTGTGCGTGCGTGAGCGTACACAAACTAGAATGAGAGGAAACTGTCCAGAGAAGAGAAGGTAATGAAACTGGAAAGAGGACAAATGGGGACATCAGCTTTATCTGTCTATAGCGTTTTATTTCTTTTACTTTTATTTTATTCATTTTGGTATTGGAATGCTTTACCACTGAGCTACATCCTAGCCCTATTTATTTATTTATTTATTTTTGAAAGAGAGGGAATTTTTAAATATTTATTTATTTATTTTAGTTTTCGGTGGACACAGCATCTTTATTTTATTTTTATGTGGTGCTGAGGATCAAACCCCGCGACCCATGCAGGCCAGGCGAGCAAGCTACCTTTTGAGCCACATTCCCAGCCCAACCTTTTTATATTTTATTTTGAATCAAGGTCCTGCTAAGTTGCCCAGGTTGGACTTGAACTTGCAATCCTCGTGCCTCAGCCTACTGAGCAGCTGGGAAGACAGGAGTGCACCACTGCACCTGATTTCTTTCTTTTATCTAACTAAACAACAACAATGTGAAACAACAACAAAAGAAAAAGAAAAACACAAGTATTACAATATTAGACTTTGTACATTTTCATAGTCATAGCCTTTAAAAATAACATTTACCACAAATGGAGCTAGACTTTTAAAGACTTTTTATGTGATTCTGATTATTAAAGTTGAGAACCCCTGCTTAAGGTTGGGTTAACATTAGAAAATTAAATCAATGCAATTTACTACAGTAACAGATTAAAGGGGAAAATTATATGATCATTCTCATTAACAGAAGGTAGAAAAGATAGTTGATAAAATTCAACATTTATTCATGATAAAATAATTGGCAAATAAGAAGATAAAAAAAAATCTTTTTTTTTTTTTCCAGTACTGGGGATTGAACCAAGGTGCTTACTGAGCCACTGAGCTACACCTCCAGCCTCTCTTTTTTTTAGTTGCTGATGGACCTTTATTTTATTTGCTTATTTATATGTAGTCCTGGGAATCCAACGCAGCGCCTCACATGTAGGAGGCAAACGCTCTACTGCTGAGCTACAACTCTAGCCCCCACCTCCAGCCTCTTTTATTTTTTATTTTGAGACAGAGTCTTGCTAAGTTGCTAAGGGCCTCACTAAGTTGCTGAGGCTGGACTCACACTTATGATCCTCTGGCCTTAGCCTCTCGAGTTGCTGGCATTACAGATGTGGGCCACTGTGCCTGGCTAAAAGAAAGCTTTCTTAATTTGATAAAGTGTAACTGACATCACAATCAAATTTATCTGTCAATCTTTCTCTTTGGAAATCAGAAACGCAAATAATGAAGGATGCTATTACTATTACCATTTCTATGTAACAATATACTAGAAGTCTGGTGTACAGCAATAGAAATAAATAAAAGGTATACATCTTGAAAAAGAAGAAACAAAATTCATCCATAAATGATTTTGACTACATTTGTGAATAAATTTAGCAAGTTTACTGGATTCAAAATCAAGTGTTTTTTTGGGGGGAGGCTGGGAATGTGGCTCAGGCGGTAGCGCGCTCGACTGGCATGTGTGTGGCCCGGGTTCGATCCTCAGCACCGCATACCAACAAAGATGTTGTGTCCGCCGAGACCTAAAAAATAAATATTAAAAATTCTCTCTCTTAAAAAAAAAATCAAGTGTTTTTTTAATTTCAAGTGTCTTTTTTTTTAATTTAATTTTTTTTTTAGTTGTTGATGGAATTTATTTTTATTTATTTATATGTGGTGCTGAGGATCAAACCCAGGGCCTCAAACAAGTTAGGCAAATGATTTGCCACTGAGCCACAATCCCAGCCCCAAGTTTTTTGCGTGCTGGGGACTGAACCCAGGGCCTTGTGCGTGTAGGCAAGCTCTCTACCAACTGAGCTGTATCCCCAGCCCCAAGTGTATTTCTTTATTCCAACAATAAACACAAAATGAAACAAATTTTAAAGTCATCATTTAAAATAGCATCAAAAATAGCAAGTGTCTAGGAATAAATCTAATGAATGATATTTAATAACTATAGAAAACTATAAAAATACTGAGAAAGATGAAATATTTAAGTAGAAAAACAAATGTTCAAAGTTTGGAAGACACGAAAATAAACAGATCTATTTTTAAAACTTCAAATCAATCTATATAGTCAATGTAATCCCAATCAAAATCAACAACCTGTACTTTTATAACAACACAAAGGACTAAGAATAGCCCAGACTCTCCACTAGACATGAGTACATTATAAAATAGAAGTTCTTAGCTTGTGATTCATCAAGGATTCTTGGAGAGAATTCAGTAGTCCATGAACTTGCATAGGAAAAAAATACACCTAACTAAAATTCAGCCCTTCCTCTACTATGAATGTAAGCAATATGCCATAATAATGTTCAGCACAACCCACAGCTTTATCAAAATGGAATCGGATATTTTTATCACAGATATCTGTAAATCTTGTCAATTCCATCACTATTTGGTCATTATAGTGGCTATTACCCCTGTAGTAGGTCTTATTTGGTCATTATAGTGGCTATTACCCCTGTAGTAGGTCTTACTTAGCTAATAAAGAAGCACACATGTATTGGAGCACAAATTTGTTTCTTTATATTTGATTCATTTTTATTTTTGGTGCTGGGAATTGAACCTAGGGCCTCACACATGGGGCACATGCTCTACCACTAAGCTACACCTCCAGTCCTGTGTTT